GTTCTGAATGTAAATTTTTGGCTACACGATATATTGATTGCAGGGCAAAGTATACCTCTTTGATAAAGTGTTTAAACCGAATGCTACGCAAGACAAAGTCTACAATGAGGCCGCAAAGTCTATCGTCACAGATGTTCTGGCAGGATATAACGGAACCATTTTTGCATATGGTCAAACATCGTCAGGTAAAGAGTCTTTGTATTCAAGACATTGATTGTAAAACAGGGTGCTTATTATCTAGGAAAGTTTGAAAACAATCTAAAATCCTCAGAATATTTTATTAGAACTCGGGGGAACTATTGTCTCTTCAAAGATTTGATTTTTATTTTTCAAGTGTTATGTGAGTTTTGTAGAGTTCACTTAAATTTTTTAATAAGAATTGCCGTATTTTACATTTGTTGCCTAAACATGCACCAATTTTGTGGAATAAAAGCATAGAAGCACAGAAGATCTGAAAAATCAAAGAGTGCTTTTCCAAAGGTACTTTGTAGAATAAAAATTATATTTATAATATTCTTCATACGCAGGTAAAACGCACACAATGGAAGGAGTCATCGGCGATCCAAACAAACAGGGCATTATCCCGAGAATTGTCAATGACATCTTCAATCATATTTACGGCATGGAGGAGAACTTGGAATTCCATATCAAAGTGTCATACTTTGAGATTTACATGGATAAAATCAGGGATCTTCTCGATGGTGAGTCTTTGTTTGATCTTACATTTATTTATTATTAAAAAATCACAACGTTTGTACAGTCTATATCTCTGTACGCTCTCTTTTCAAAATGAATCTCCACGATTTCCTGTTTCAGTATCTAAGGTTAACTTAAGCGTACACGAAGACAAGAACCGGGTGCCGTTCGTGAAGGGCGCGACCGAGCGGTTTGTTTCTAGTCCTGAGGAGGTGTTCGAGGTGATAGAGGAGGGCAAGTCAAACCGGCACATCGCCGTGACCAACATGAACGAGCACAGCTCACGTTCCCATTCCGTTTTCCTTATAAACGTCAAACAAGAGAATTTGGAGAATCAAAAGAAGCTCTCCGGCAAACTGTACCTCGTCGATTTAGCAGGTTCCGAAAAGGTGAGATTTTATTAACAAACCATATTTTTTCCTATTTTCATTGTGATTATTATTATTATATTTTTCATATTCTCACGTTTTGTTAGGTTTCTAAAACCGGTGCAGAAGGAACGGTGCTGGACGAAGCGAAGAACATCAACAAATCCCTGTCTGCACTTGGTAACGTGATTTCGGCCTTGGCTGACGGCAATAAGACTCACATTCCTTATCGTGACTCCAAGCTAACGAGAATCTTACAAGAATCCTTGGGTGGCAACGCCAGGACCACGATCATCATCTGTTGCTCTCCCGCTAGTTTCAACGAATCTGAAACGAAATCGACTTTAGATTTCGGTAGATTTATACTATATTTTTTTTACCTATCACGATACGCGCTGCTCTGTTCTCGGCAGATTTCATAGACCGTGTTTATTACAGGTAAACGCGCTAAGACCATCAAGAACGTTGTATGCGTCAACGAGGAACTCACGGCCGAAGAATGGAAACGTCGCTACGAACGCGAGAAGGAGAAAGTGGCGAGATGGAAAGGCAAGGTGGACAAATTGGAGGCCGAATTGTCGCGTTGGCGGCAGGGTGAGACCGTCAAACCCGAGGAGCAGGTCAGCCTCGTTGAAGGACCGGATGTTACCACACCGATCACTGCACCCATCGAAGGTAATGAATACAGTTTAAACACACCCATCTAATTAAGTTTTATATATATTAAAACAACATGGATGAAAAGATTATGATTGCAATTCTCTAAGATTAGATTAGATTAGTGTAATTTTTGCAGATTGTGTATTACAAAGTTCTTTGTTTTACAGTTAAATTGGACGACAGTCCCATGCCTGCTACTCCCGGCGGCGGTCTTATGATTGGTTCCCTCTCGAACGAGGAGAGGCAAAAACTCGAAGAGGAACGTGAGAGGTTGTATCAACAGTTGGATGACAAGGATGAGGAGATCAATCAACAGTCGCAATATGTCGAGAAACTGAAGGAGCAGATGGAGGAACAGGAGGAACTTATCGCCAGCGCGAGGCGAGATTACGAACAGTTGCAACAGGAGATGAATCGAATACAGCAAGAGAACGAGAGCGCCAAAGAGGAAGTGAAGGAGGTGCTGCAAGCGTTGGAAGAACTTGCGGTCAATTATGATCAGAAATCGCAAGAGGTAATTGTTTGTGAACGATGGAAGAGACTACTGTTCAGAAAAGTGGACAAGCTTTTTTTTTATTCTTGCTACTCTTAACTTTAGGTCGAGCTGAAGAACAAGGAACAGGAATCAATGACAGAAGAGCTCCTGGCTAAACAAGTAGCTTTGAACAACACCGCGTCTGAGCTGCAACAATTACGTGACATGTCGGCGCATCAGAGGAAACGCATCGCGGAGATGCTAGCAAACTTCTTAAAAGATTTAGGGGAGATCGGGGTGGCTATCGGTGGCGAGTCTAACGAAAACCTAAAAGTAAAGATCAAATTACTAAGTGAAAATAAAAGTATAAAGATTAAATTACTTTTTGTGATTTATTTAATACAAATTATATCAATTACAACCTCAATTTGAATTCAAGATCGCTCCGCCGGAAAGCAATGGTAAATTGGAGGAAGAGTTCACGGTGGCGAGACTGTTCATCAGCAAAATGAAGTCCGAGGTGAAGAATCTGGTCCAGCGGTGTCAGGGATTGGAAAGCTTCCAAACAGACTGTAACAAGAAAGTGAGTGGCTGCGTTTTACGTCATCGCATTAATCACGATTTCTTCTCCATGTCACTTTCCTTTAATCAATCTTTGTTTTGCATAAATGTCTAGGTTTCCGAGTACGAGAAGGACTTGGCTGAGTACCGACTGTTGATCTCGCAACACGAAGCCCGTATGCAAACGCTGTCGGAATCGATGAAGGAAGCCGATGCACGCAAACGAGGTCTGGAGGAGGACGTGGATGCGTTGCGCGAGGAATGCGCCAAGTTAAAGGCTGCCGAACAGGTGCAGGCTGTTACCAACAAGGAGAAGGCCGAGGAGAAGGAGGCGGCGACGAAGATGCGAGTGGCCTTGGAGGAGCAGATGGATCAGCTGAGGGATGCGCATCAAAAACAGGTTGCTTATTTGTTAAAACACATTCCAATCAAACTAAATTCTTAACTATTTTGCCTTGGATTTAATCGCCGTTTTTCTGATTCTTTCGGATTTCAAATTTTCTAACATTGGATTTAACTCTATTGAAGGTTGCTGCGCTTAGGGACGAATTATCCGAGAAACAGGAACTGATCAGCGAGCTCAAAGACCTCAATCAGAAGTTCACTCTGGCACACCAGCAAATGCAAGCCGATTACGAACGGCTGAAACAAGAGGAGGCCAACAAATCGGTCAAGCTGCAGGAACTTATGCTGTTGAACGAGCGCCGAGAACAAGTACGTTTGATAGAAAAATTTATGTGACGGACGAGCAAGTCTGTCTATCAAATGCAGTCTAAAAATAAATTTATAATCACGTCGAATCAATTCCAGGCAAGGAAAGATCTCAAGGGTTTGGAAGACACGGTAGCCAAAGAACTGCAGACCTTGCACAATCTACGCAAATTGTTCGTCCAGGATCTGCAGGCTAGAATAAAGAAGACCATCAATGCGGAAGATAACGAGGATGATGGTGGTTCCCTCGCGCAGAAACAAAAAATATCCTTCTTGGAAAACAATCTGGACCAGTTAACGAAGGTACAACTCAAACGCGTGCAAATAATCTATTAATTCACATTTATTTACTAATATATTTTCTATTAATATGTCACTATTGATTATAATCAAGTTATAATTAAGATTTGCCCTTATTATTTATATATATATATATATATTTGTGATATTAATATATTAATTCTGTATATAATACGCATTTGTATCATAGGTGCACAAACAACTTGTCAGAGACAATGCAGACCTTCGCTGCGAGCTGCCTAAACTGGAGAAACGATTGCGAGCGACGATGGAGCGCGTCAAGGCCCTGGAGACGGCGCTGCGCGACGCCAAGGAGGGCGCGATGCGAGATCGTAAGCGCTACCAGTACGAGGTGGATCGGATCAAGGAGGCGGTTAGGCAAAAGAATCTGGCGCGTCGCGGACCGAGCGCACAGATCGCGAAGCCGATTCGGGCCGGTCAGCACCATCTGAGTAATGTCAACGCCATCAGAACCGGCAATCGTGGTAAGGAGTAGTTTCCTTCTCTTTCCCTCCGGCTACATACCGCGCCGTCGCCAGTCGTCTCTCTTTTTCTTTTTATTTTTTTCGTAAACTTCCCTCGTCTTGTATGTACAATCATCTTGTTTTTCTTTTTTTTTTAGATTCACTTAATTAAAAAGCCTACATTGTGTGTCGTTGTGTGGGTTTGTTCGGTTTTGCGTTACAAAAGGGGTGGCGGCTCCCCAGGCAGCTCTGCGCTTTAGAGTAAGTGGGTCGATTTTGTTACGTCTATTACCTTGGCACCAAGCTTCTCGCGCGATTTCATTAAGGAGGAAATAAGCGAATAAAAAAAAAGCGAACAAACCTCGCGACGTTCCTTTTTAACGTATACGATCGAATCGCATTCTTTTTTGCACGGCTTAGTTCAATTATTTGAGACGTTCTCAGTTGCGATTACCGCCGTATAATTTATAATATAATTTATATCGAAGTATCACGATGTTTAATTTCATGAAATATGAAATTTTATTTAACTGTTCAACGTTACTTTGGAAATTTATTTGTTTTCCTCTCTTTTTTTTCCATGTTCCTGATCACACACACACACAGATATGGGTAACAGCGTACAGTGATCGTGATCGCATAATGCCAAAATACCCTTCACTTTTACAGAAAACGAATGCAAGAACGCTTTCATCGATGAAAACAAAAGAATTCCAGCGGCTCTTATGTATAACGGATATGCATAAATGTTATAATTATTATTAATGTAAGGGCATAGTACTATATTATTCGCAAGGAGAGAGCACCGCCAGTTCTTTTAATTGTTTCTTTCCTCTGTTTCTCAGAGCAAGCATGTGCTTAGGTATATATAAGAGATAAATGCATTAAATTATATACAATATATATGTGACATATATATACAATATATATATATATGTGACATATATATATATACATATGTCACAAGCGCTGCATGTCCTGTCGATGTAAATAGTTAATTTTTATAAATTATTTATAATTTAATGTCACATACATATATATGCATGATACCGATTCGATAATAGGTATTTTAAAATATGAACGTCTGAATCGAACGAATCACACGGAGAAGCCTCTCGCCAGTCTCGAAATAATTTATACTTTAGTGTCTATATTTAAATCGCACAGTCTAAAAAATTTAATGGAGAGAAATACTAAGAAATACTTGTCGCAATCCAGGATCCTCGTGATCTCGAAGGAGAGGGGCAACGAATGAATATTTAAGGTGTTTAGTTCGGATACCGGTTCACTAATCAAGAAAACGATCGGACATGCGGCTTCGAGCAAGCGTGAAGATGATCGCGTAAAGATGAATACTTACACAAGTATTCGTAATCGTAAGAAATCTCTCTGCTAGCTGATAAGAATAACCTCGCGATAAGAGCACTCTATGCCTCAGCCGCTAGAACTCGGATACAAAGTATAAATTGTAATCGGCACGAATTGTGTAAGTGGACTTTACGCACTCGACAGCAACATTATTTCCAAGTGGTCCAAGCGTAAAAGACGAGAATTCAGACCGAGTTCTAGCGTCCTGGGCCCGGGCCCCGAAGGTCCCAGTGCGCTTTTTGCTCGGAGGGCACACTTGATCTCTGGTCAAGCGAGGCATTGCCTCTCCAGAGAGCTCTCGCGTTTACGGCGGCCGCGCCGGTGTGCGATCTTATCAGAGCGAGGAAAATTCACGAGGACCTATTCCGCGACGGGAAAGTAGAGCGATTTGAAGCGACTATACCGGCTATCGTGCGTATAGTTCGCCGACCATTTCTCTCGCGTGCGTTTAATTTAGATTAATTTATCCCCGACACGCTCCTTTTGCTGCTCCCTGGCGACCACCGAGCGACGCTAGGCCTCGGTCTTCTTCCGACGAGCCTCGGACTTTCTTCTTCCCCGCTTCTTCCGATCGAGCGATGAAACCCAGTGAAATCTGCCTGTCCCGAAAGGAAGGAAGGAAGGGAAGAGGAAGAGAAACTGTCGGAGTTTCGCGCTCCCGCGTCTCTCATTCGCGGCGTCGCCTTCGTTAATCCTTCTCGAGAGATCCTCGCGATTTGTTACTCCCTTTTTTAAACCTAGCTCAGTTCTCGCGCGTTTTGTATCACGTTATTTTCTACGCTCTTTTTCCCGCCCAATTTACACGCGATTTATCGCACGTCTCTTTGTAAATCCATTTTATAAGGCTTCTCTACGTATGATCACGCGCTCGAGATAGCCGTATCGTTGCTAATTTATAATCACGATAAGATACGAATTACGCCCGATTAAGCGAATGGCCCGGGCGGACGGTTAACGACGGCCTCTCACAGGTACGCTCGTATACATTTTTCTCGTACATGCGGGCATTCTGCGAGCCTGCGTTTATCGCTTTTGTAACAGGTTCTCAACCGCGCGCAATCGATGTAATCACCTTCTGTCGCGAGCGAGAGCTATTTATGGAAGCAGATTTTATTTATAAAAATCCAGTTTTTTTTTCGATCCTCCTCGAGATCGCGGAAATTCTCAGAGCCGAGCTAAACTGAGAGCGCTCGCGGGACTTATCTAACGATAAACGGGTGTAGTGAGTCGCACCGTTACGGAAGCTTCTTCGCGGAGCAGCGGCGCGGGGAAGCGTGATGAAGATGTGTGATGTAAACTCGACTCGAGAAGAAGTATTCGACTAATACTTGCTTTTTCCTTTACCACACTACCCATTTCTCTCTCTCTTAACTTTTGTGATATATAACTGTATCGAGGACGAGGAAGTTGCGTTCTTTTTTTTTCCTCTTTGGTCGTACGTATAGGCGAAGACGACCGACAAGTGTGCATTAGTGGTGCATTAATGCGAGTGCAATTATCTTTAAGCTATTTTTGTCGGATGTATGTAAATATACGATATACACATACATATATATATATATACACATATGTATATATATATATATATATACATATATATATATACACATGTCACGTTAGTTTCGCGTAACGTTTCGGAACGTAGAGAAAAGTGTATGTTCCTCTCCGTGGTGAAAGAGGGAAGGCAAGCATGCGTTCTATGCACGAATTGTATTTATCGCAGATATAACATAATACACACACACCAACACGTCTATAATGTTAATGTTTCTCTCTTCAACGCGCGTCCCCCTTTAGACGCCGATGAATGTATTTCTCTCCCTCCCCCAATCGTGTTGCGCTGAAAACTGTAATGCGCGCCTGTAACGGTCCGCGTTTCTCTCTCTCTCTCCCTTTCTCCCGCTGATTCATTAAATTAATCGAAATCATCGGCTTCGACGAACCATTGTAATTCCGCGATCGTCGATTTCAGATTTCCCATTCTTCGAAAGAAGTTTAAGAAGCACGAGATTACGTAAGGAATCATGTAAGAAATCGCTACCGATCTTTGTGATAGTAGGCGACAACAATCCCTTTTAAAGCGCAACAGCAACGATCGATCCTTATTATTAACGAATAACGATGTATGTGTAATGTATCGAAATAACGTTCGCCGACGAACTCGCGGAAGACAGAGAGCTGTCGGTATATTATTTTCATAATTGTCTCCGGCGTGTCTGAGAAAAGGAAAAAAAAAAGAAAACGAATAATAATTACACTTACACCTATCGCAAGTCAAGTAGGCGAGACTGTAACGATTTATGTGCACGCAGCCATCCAGTCCAGTCACTGTTAAAGAAGAGGTCGATCTACAAAACCGCGGTCTCTTCGTCTCGACGACGAGCGAAGCGTTCTTTCGTTTCTTTATCGCGACTTCTCGAAAAAAAAAAAGACAAAATAGAGAAAGAAAAGGATTTCCCGTTCCGTTGTCGAGAGGACGATCTCAGAGAATCTCAGCGAGCAGAACGTTTAAGTTCCGACGGTTTACGCAAACGATTTTTGTAAAGATCCTTTTTTTTTGGTCATGTACGAGAGTACTCTCCGCGAGTACGTTTTTCGCATCAGCAATCGAGTTCAGATCTACCTCATCTGAAACAGCAATGTAGCGAAATAAAAAAAAAACGAGACGAAAACGTGAAAAAAAGAAACGCATAGCTGCAATTCTAAACATTTTTTTCCTAGACACTAGGCGGTAGCAAATTTGTATGCAGGGTGTAGAAGAGAGGCTGTAGCTACAAGGTACTATTATGAATTGTAATACAATATTCTCCTCGGATTAAAACTGTAATTTTAAGATGAGATATCGTTATTATTATTATTATTATTCGATTATCGAAAAACGAACAGTGCTTATATTGAAAAAAAAAAGAAAAGAATAAGGTAAGGAAAATCACACGACTGTATTCACTTTATTTATTTATTGTCGCACCGCATATTGTCCCGGCGAAGTAATCTCCGAAAGAAATATATTTATAAGGTAATATAATAAAAAATATAATAAAAAAAATATATTATACATACACACATCTTATTGCGCGTGCGTAAAATCCCTGCATTGATATCGCTCTACTTAAAAAGATCTTTTGATGCTTATTTAATTTGCGTTTACTTTCTAAAGTCATTATAAAGTCACGCGAAAAGTTTTTAATGCGAGCTTTATAGTTAATTTGTACGAAATTGCTTCTTCTGTTTTCCCTTCTGCTTTTGCTAACGGATTGACGGAATTAAAGGCGACACCACTCGGTGGATCGTATTGTAAAAGTTCACGTTTTATTCTTATCGATAGAATTGTACAATATCAGTAGATATCAAAACATACAATAATTGGAATACAATAAACAACATGATTATTACAACAAGTTTCCCAGTCCACAGGCTAAGAAGAGACCTACATACGTGCGCCTGTCGTAGAGCGCGCATCTTTCCTTTTTTTTTTACAAAGTTCCCGGCAGTATGTATATGTACAATCGGTCTTTTTTTTGCCGATAAATATTACACGTAAAAAAACGAGACATTTGGCGCGTAACGCGTAAACAAATTATACTTATCACTACAGCTACGTACGTATTTCTCACTGAGGCTTAAAGTTTTCATAAATGATTACAGAACGTGAAAAAGGCATTCGCGCGTCCCATCCTCTCCGAAATAATTCCATACAAAGGGGAAAAGCGTTGTATGAAGTGCTTTATTCGGTGCGCACTCGATACAAACGAAAAACGATACATTGCGAGACACCGCGCGGCGATTTCCCCTTCGCGCAAAATTACTTCCAAAAGATGAGACGCGAGAAATTCGAAAAATGTATCGTACTCGGAATGCGTAGAGGCATACGTTTACGCATTCACAAAATCGACATTGAGCGAGAAGCCCCGTAAAGTCCAGCCCTACGTCGGAGCAATAAAGATCCGAGAGACCACCGTCTCGACAAAAATGGCAAACGGGCGTGTACTTGCAGGGGGAAAAGGTGATTAAAGAAACCGAGCGGACGAATGTTCACATAAATACGGAAGAGAAGATAATCTATACAGTAATCTATACAAAATATTCGAGACGGCCAGAGGATAAAACGTGGCAGTGTGTGTCTCTCTAAGGATATCCAATAAAAGAAAAAAAGAGGCGCAGACTGGCAGATATGTTCGACGAGCAAGTATATTGGCAGTGTGTAACGTCGTATTTCCTGTTTTCCCGGCAGTAGAATGGAACATTGTGCTCATCCCTTAATTGGCAGTAATTGTACCATCTCTAAGTATTTCCCAAGTAATCCCAAGATCGGAAGATTAAATCTTTAGACTCTAAGAAATCGGCAGTAGAAAATCGCATGCGAGATTAGGAAGAAAGAAAAACGATGTATTATTGAAAGATCTTCCCCGGTCGAGTCGACCGCACTCGCCGATTACTCGAGGTTCAATTAACGCTAGCGATCACATAAATAGTTGTGGCGATTGATAAAAATTTACCGCGTGAACACACAACGAGCCGGCGCGCGGCGATTCCGGTCGTCGCGACGTTAACGTAACAGCATAGTGCACAGCACTATCATATTCAGTATCAGCGAGCCGCAGAGCAGCGCGGACAGCCAGCCGGGGCTCGCGATGACCGTCGTCGTGTGATGACCGGCGTACACCGGCACCGAGCCGTTTCTATCCTCGACGTTCGGTCCGCGAACGCAGCTCTCCTGGACCTGATTGTGATTGTCTGCGTTGTGCGTCGCGCGAATCGTCGGCGACGACAGCACCGATCGCGAGTGACCCCCCGTCGCGTCGGAGTACCGCGACTGTGGACAGGGCACCGGCGAGTCGTGCCTCGCGACCGGGCCCGGACGCGCCGTCTGGCACGACCATCGCGTGGCCTCCGACACGACGGAGCACCGGTCGAACTCGTGCACGGACGGCTCGCGGGAGGGCGCGAGATTGGAGGAGCCGACCGAGCCGAAGCCGGAGCTCTGGCTGGACGACCGCGAGAGCGTCGGCGGCGTGGCGGTCATCATACCCTCCTGCCAGTAACCGCCCGCCACCCACGAAGTCTGCGTCACCGATCTGAGCTTCGGCGGCGACAGGATGCACCTCCTCTTGCTGTACGCGCCGCCGGATCTCCTGAACAGATTCTCGGAGCTCGTCGCGTTGTATATCCTTCGCTCGAAGATCGCCGGCGCTACCTTCGCGTTCCTGCCGCACCTCGGCGACTCCTCGCTCAGGAGAAGAGTGCTCAGGCTGTCGTTCAAGCAGCAGTCCGGTAGACTATTCTCATTTTGAGAAATGGAGTTCACGTAACCGTTGTTACCCTCGTTTGCAGTGATCGTAGACAGTTTCTGTCTCAGTCTGAAAACAAATGGAAATAACAGACGTTCACGTATCAAGAGGAGCGACAGAAACGACATAAGATACTTACATTGCTGAATGCGACTTGCTGAATTTGATTTCAGTGGAAGACAATTCACTCGTCGCGTAGACCGACGATTTAATACTGTCGTTCATTTCGCTTGGAACGATACTGTTTCCGCTTTGATTGTTACACGCAAGTTGAGGCGAGGCAGCGTTTTGTGAGCGCAACTTGATCTTCTTGAACACCACTGAGCCGGTCAATGTATTTTTATACCGGATACATTTTATACCGGATCTTAGGCTCACCAAAGCTATAACAATTGCGCACACCGCTATCTGAAAAGAGACAGACCGATAAGCTAAATTTACAGATAGATTCGAGCGCTAGAATAAATTTCCCGTTCGTTTAGCTCACCATGCGGTATTGCGCGATGTGCTCCGTTGTGAGCCAAGCACTTAGAAGAGTCGCCGAACTCTTGACGGACACGAGGATAATAAGGCAGAACCATAAAAGTATCAATAACACATCGGAACTCCTGTTCCTCGTTGAGCTCGCCCAATAAGCGCACAGGTGAAAGAACAGTCCCCCGATTGGCAGCCAAACGAAGTCGTGGTTGTACACAAGTATCGCGAGTTGAACCATCGAGACAGCTCGGAAAATGCTTTCCGACTTTCTTGCGTTCTGCAAGAGCGCTAACAAACGATTATTCGTTGCTACAACCGCACGTTGTTGGGGGATATTAATGGAAACGTCTTAAGATATTTGTGACAACGTAATGAACGTTTGGAACATCAATCCGTTAATCTCTACGACGTCCCTTCAGCAAATGTACTTACGCCGACAAGCGTCTTAATTGGTTTCTGCCTGAAGAACAGCATCTTATAACGAGTCAGCCACACTGCCTGCCTGCGCAACGCATCCCGCACTGTCAATTTGCAGCTGTCGCATAGCGGATATCTCACTTCCAGGTGCTCCTTAAACGCCTTCAGCTCCGTGTCGAAGAGCCTCTTGCTCTTGGGCTCGAAGTTTGACAGCTCCGACAATTTCAGACTCTCCCGCTTGTTGCAGTACTCACAGAGCTTGCCCTCGAGGCCGTGACGATTGTCACTTCCTTCGGACAGTCTGCAGTATCTCGTACGTACGTTCGACGTTGCATACTGCTCCGGAATATCATACGCGTAATCGCCATTCTGGAAAACAAGTATTTTGCATTCATCGATATATACCACGTTAAGAAATTGTCTCCCAGCGAGTGGACAGTTGTAGAAGGCAAAAGAAAAAAAGAGATGACTCAATGATAATTTACCTTGGAAAAACCATTGTACTGTTCGCACCAAGGGCACAACCACCAGCCCAGATTCTGCCGCCAGACCTTCGTGTTCTCGTTGCAAAACCAGCAGTTTACCTTCACGGGCCATCTCGCCCTGCAGGAACATTAACGTTAATCGCGGTGAGTGAGGGGCACTCTCAAAAGCGACGCAAGGAACGTATATATTATATGAAGCAGGATGGAGCGAGTAACTCACCTCAGCCTGTGGAAGACCGTCAAGCACGTAGCGAGGATTAAAAGTACCGGGGCGAACACGGCCACGGAATCGAACGCCGCGTTCCGATCGGGCTCCATGTCGCGTGGGGAGGGAGGGAGGAAGGTTAAAAACGCGCTAAAAGAAGGGCGAGGGTCCGCGCCGTGCCGCGCCGGCAGGAAGACGATCTAGACTCCACGAGATAGCGACGTCGACCGCGTGCCGCATCTCCCGCCAAGCGAGCGGAGGGCAGGGCACGACATAACCTGAAAGACCTGTCGTGCCGGGGACTCCGGAGAAGGGGTGTCGGTTCAGCGAGAAGAAAGGAACCGCGCGCCGCGCCGCCGTCGCGACGTCACGTCGACGCGAAGTGCGGAGCCCTCGCGGAAGCTTACCGTACGACCGTCGTCCCGTCGACCAGTGACCACCCCAGTCCGACAAATCCATCCGGTCAATCCGGTGCTCGAATTTCCTCGACCCTCGTCCCTCGAACCCGTTGTCACGATACGCGCGGGGCACGTGCCGGCAGCCCGCGGCGGATGCCCGCGCTGCGTTCGGAAAACACATCTAAATGGCTGCGTTCAGCCGAACCTCTGCTTAGCGAAGCGAAAGGTAGCAATTAAGTGTAATTGGTTGGATCCAAAGGTAAGGACCAATCACATTCAGTTGCTACCTTTCGCTTCGCTAAGCAGAGGTTCGGCTGGACACGGCCAATGGGCGCGTTTAGCAGACACAACTGTTGCACAACCGTTGAGTTCGTCTTGTCAACACTCTGCGTTGATTGGTTGGTTCTAATGCTGGGTCTACAATGCGAGTCGCAAAGTCGTGAGTCGCAAGAATTGACCAATCACAGTCGATTATTCTCCTCAAATTCGATTGTGATTGACACCATGCCAGGGTGCTGTGGGCTAATCACCCCGTACATCTGAATTTAAAGCGATTACTGAAACCTTATAAGGAGGAACTAATCATTATCATCATGTACAAACAAGTGCCATAAATATAATGTTTGATAGTTACAATGGTTGAAATTTTTTCAATGCAGTACGAAAATGTCAAAATCCTATAAAAATTGTTACATGCTAAGAAATATAGAAGAAATATAATACATATTTAAATGTAAAATTATCAAAAATTGTTTCAGAAAAACAACAATGTGATTAATTTAACATGCATGCAATATTACAAGAGAGCAGATTATTCTGTCATATTTCTGAAACACCTACATCATATATGTAATTACAAATATAAATTGCATAATTAGCAAGTCCAATTACTGATCGTTTAGTAAAAATAATCTACATGCTGTTCGTTAAATTTTTTACAACAACACAGGGTCCCGCACGGCCAGCGTTAAGAGGAGCAACCTATAAACATAAAAATGTTTAAGTTTACAAAATACATTTACAATTATTTCTATTTACCATATTCAATTACAGGAATAGTTTATACACTCACAGGTTCCCATTCGTTGAGATGTGGATCGTAGGCTTCCACTAGTGTGAGACATTGTCGGCCGTCGTATCCTCCCACGGCCATAAGTCGGTCACCTAATTCGCACACACCAACTGAAGTCCGGGGCACACTCATTGGCGCAACCATAGTCCACGTATCAGTTTTAGGATCATATCTATATTGTTACATCGCATTATATATAACTTGAAAATTTTAACATATAATGTAACAGCGGCTTTATACCTTTCTACACAGTCCAATCTGCTAGTAATGCTAGCTGAATAAGTTTCGTAACCACCGAGTGCATAAAGACAACCATTCACTACTCCTACGCCTACTCTGCATCGTCTCTTCGACATAGGTGCGCACGGTGTCCATTTGTTCGTGTGCGGATCGTAACATTCTACCGTATCTAAGCAGGAACTGATACCTTTTCCTCCTACGGCATACAATCTAAAACATCATAAAAAATTTAATATCAAATTTATTTAAAAAAATTTAATATTTAATAAGATTTAAAGTTAATAAAATAATATTTGTACGAAAACACGCACTAAAAAGAAAATTAAAATGATTGAAAACAGGTATGACGTAATAATTTGTCTGTAAAGACTTACTTATCATTTAACACAGCTACCCCGACTTCACATCTTTGTACGGACATAGGACATATTGACCTCCACCGACCTGTTCTCGGATTCCACATCTCTACCTCACTAGAATAAGAATAACATTCACCACCAACAGCATATAAAAGTCCACCTAAGACTGCCACTCCTAAAAAAGAATATTATAACGTATTTGCCAGAGTTTGATTATGAATAAATGAAATAAATTGCACATTAATTTTGCAAAT